AACAACCCTATGACAAATAAATGCCTGAGACATGTATACGAGTATAACAGCAGAGTTTTTCCTGTTTTGATAATTTTTAGAATTTAGAGAAACACGTTATTTTTATTATCCAAACAGTTAGTCAAAATACAAGTAGGCCTACTGTAATCTTCTAGAGCTAGAGTATCAATCCTGAATCCCTTAGCAAAACAGCTGATCACGACAAACAATGTTTACCATCGGATCTAATGGCGAGAAGCTTAATCTTGGCTGAGCGTTATACAGAGCTCTGGCATGTATAATACCAACAGTTCCTGTTGGATTACAATCGACATTTGACATACTGACAGTTACTAATAGGATAATAATTAATTTCGAGCAGCATGTTGTAGGACCTTGTTAGGATCTTTTTAGATTTCGATAACATGACAGTTCTTGTCAAGATTAAACTTGCGAAAGTTTCTTATGAAATTACAATTTATTGTTAGCATAATGCTGACAATATCTGATAGGGTTATACCTTGTTGAGAGCAGAACAAGGAAGATTTCTTGGCCGAGGTATACTGTGCTTTGATCATAATATTGAAATATTTAACAGGGTTATACTCGATTCTGAGCAAAATACTCGTTCTTTTCTGGTTGGATTAGTTTTGTAATTGAATAGAATACTAAAGGATTTTTAATTAGAAATTTAATGCAATTTTATCAAAACATCGAAATAACAGGTATATACTCTTTTTAGCGAATTTCCCATATAGGGAATAAGCTATTACCGTAGTAGGCCTACTCATGGTAAGACCTGGACCCGGGACCGATTTACTTTTTCGTTTTGAGGTCCCTAGAGACCAAAAACACCGTCCGTTGAAATTCATATATATATATATTTATATATGTGTCCGTTAGCGCGATAACTCGAGCAAAAATCATCCGATTTTGATGAAATTTGGTACAAACGTGTAAACCTACGTTTATTCGAACGAGTTTGCGAAACAGCATGATCGGATTAAAATTTAGCAATTTCTTTCCAAACCATTTTGTAGAGCTTAAAAAACAAATAGTTTAGTATATTGAAGCGTTATTATGCGCCTGATGGTTACGGAGAAAATTCCCAAAAGCTAAATTTAAAATTCCCATGTTATTCTTATGGAGAATAAATAAACTGTTGTAGTTTGCTTGTTTATGAACATATTTTGATCAAATTTATAAAATGCATTCATTTCATACTAAACTATTAACATTAAAAAAAACTTTTACTCTCCCTGTTGCAGCAAACCTAAGTACTCGTTAAACTAATGCTATTTAAATAGGGAATAAATGTGATAGTTTTAAGGAGTCATTTTAGTGTAAATCCAATCAGGCAAATGGAAATTCGCTTAGTCTGCAGGTTTGCTGCGGCGGGGGTATTAATATAATACGCTTGCAGTTCATATCTACAGGGTGAATAAAAAGTGAAACCCCCCCCCCCTCTAATATTTTTCAAAGTAAATATACAGAAATATCCTTTTGGTGGTCGTGCAATCTTAGCAGGAAGTTTCATTTTATGATTTTGAAATTTTTGAGTGTCCACCCAAAAGGGGGGATTTGGGGGGCAACTAAAATATTTTAAATGTAAACCACCTTCAAGTGACACCTCATTTTAAAGGGTTTACAAAAACTTAAAGAATGGTGAAAACTAGAGGTCGTTTTTCTTCTCTATCCAAAATGGTAGCCCGTCAAATGTTGTGATGTTGTGTTGTGTTGCGATTAGCTTCAACAATACCGGGGTAGGATTATTGCACACATTCCGTCTCCAATTTATTCACCCTGTATGTATCTACTTCTCACGTTCGAGAATAACCATTTTCTTCACAGGAGTATTGTACTTTGATCAAAATATGAATTCATGTATTTGACATAATTATACTTAATTTTGGCCTACTGTTCTGGCATTGCAGTTATTATTTTCAAAATAGAGCAGACATAAATAAATATTTCTGAACTGAATACTACACTATTGTGCTATAAATATCATGGCAGTATTTGGCTTCGAGACGCTACTAAACTATCTCGACAGGATTACTCTCTTGCTTGAGAAGACTTTCCAAGCAACAGGTATATAAAATCAACAATCAACCCTTTTGACGCGCCGCTACATGCTCGCCGTCACGTTATCTCGTCGCCCACGCTTATCTGTGACGTCATAGACTTTCCTACCGTCCGCAAGGCCGCGCCACCGTTCCTTTCACTAGAGAGCGCTGACTGGCTGTTGCTAAGCAACGCCGTCGAACGTTCCAGTTCTCTTCTCTCAGTCAGTCTGGTGGTCTAGTCGTGGTCTGTAGGCGGAGTGTGGTGTCGTGGTTGTGTGGTGGAAAATTGGAAATTCGCGATGATGTAAAGTGCGAACGAGTTAACCTGCCTCTACACACGTCTCTCTAAAGGTTTGTCACAGTTTTTAACCTAGATTCTACGATCTCTTATGTTTTTTCTCCTCCAATATGTAACACTTGTTGCAGCCGCCCTCATTTTAGTTGAAGCCGTGGGTCTGCAGTAAAAGTTTCACTTTTTAAATTTATTTTTGTGTTTTTACCTATTTGACGTATTATTAAAAAATTATAACGTATTAGTTTTGTGAATATTTTACGTATTGGGACTTGCCTGATAAATCTTGCGTCTTTGAACTCGGTTTCAGATTTTTCACCCCCAGCTTAGTCCGTCGTGATTATTTTAAATCCTCTCCACTGAGGCATGTTGGTACATGTTTCTAAAGTAATCGTTTATTTGTGTGATTTATAACATTGAATTAATCTTTTATCTGATCTTTACATGGCTTGTGATATTGAATATGTCGGTACCGATTTTTTTCGTAAATTATTGCAGATTATAGTATTGCCGTAAATTCATCCATCACCCGCTTAATAATGCTAGTTGCAGGATTAATTATTTTGACAATTTTATATTTGAAACCCCTACCACTTTTCCGCCCTAAAGCGTTATGAATTGCTCATTTAGTTTAATTTATTTATGGACATTACTCAATAACGAAAATGAGCTAGGCAGCATATGGATAGTTTAAGATCGGTAGTCTTAGTCTAAAAATGAAACATTACGCTTATCCTGTAAATGTGAGCCAAGAATAGGCAATTGAAAGTACCATATGCAAGGCATTTTTTTTTTAAGTTTAATATTGAACGGCACTAAAAGCTATATCCAATACAATAGTGTTTTAATATTCATGTTTTACTATTGTATTTATGACTGACTTGTGCATTTCAAGCGTCCATGACAAGATCGATTACATGTAATTTTGCCTAAAGATCAATAAATGTCTTATGTCTTATTATCGAAAAATAGTTTCATTTGCTAGTTTTACCTCATGTATACCTACATGTTATAACCTACATGTTGTGATACAAGTTTATGGCTGCCTTAATGATGATTATTATTATTAAAGCCCTTAATACAGTAAGGTAATTGGATGTGATTATGTTTGATACCACTTTTGTATTATCAGGCAACGCACTATTAATTTTTTATGTGGTCTTTGATTATTTACATTATAGTACTAATATTAAATGGTAATAACATTTTTATGACATAGGGTAATTACACTTTTCAAATTTTTATGAGATGACACCAACTGTAGGCTAGATTCTGGGGTGGGGGGGGGGGTCAGATTACTAATTTAAACAGAGTTTATTTAGTCTACTCTTTAAAAATTCACTGAAGATTCTGAAAATGATTTTTCTTTTGGTTTTTTTATAAACTAAAAAAAAATTATAAATAAATTTAAATTTTTTTATTTATAAGGAATGTCAATTCCTTGGGTTTATAATTGTGTTGGGATGATTTTTTTTTCAAATTTTAAAATGGTAATGGTACCGGTATGTTTTGTTATTATTTTGTTGTTATTTCGTTTTTTAAGTTCGCCTCAAAAAGAAGGATTTTCATTTCATTTTTCATAGTTATGAAATTGACAAAATTGTTAATGTTGACTAAGATATAACCATAAACAAGCAAACTGCAACAGTTTTTACTCTCCATAAGAATAGCATGGGAATTTAAAAAAATTACAATTTTTGAATTACTGTATCTTTGTTAGGTAATACAACAATGCTTCAAAATACAAATATTTTTTAATGCTCTACAAAATGTTTTGGAAAGACATTATGCAATTTTGGGTTTTTAGGGTCAAAAATTAGAAATGTACCTAATTTCACCAAAATCTGATCATTTTTGCTCCAAATCAAATCAAAAACCAAATCAAAATCTGTTTTATTTCCAGAAATTTTTTACAATATATACATATACAAAATACGAACAATAGTCCCGCATAGGCCGTCTAGTTGTTGCGCTAACGGACACATCCATAGACACCCTCCTATGAGCGTGTTTTTGGGCTCTGGAGACCTCAAAACGAAACAGTAAATTGGTCCTGGGTCTAGGTCTTACCATAATAGCGTATTCCCTATATGGGAAATTCTCTACACAATGATCAAATTACACAATTTCCGGTTCTGATTTACTTTAGTTCTACTTTATTTGGATTTCAGTAAACATACAGTAATGTTGATGATTAGAGTAGGCCTACTTTGATGATTTTTTTTAGATACAGTTTGTTAAGATTTTTTAATATACTACGGTAATTGATATATTTGGACTCTCTTCCAAAACCTTTTTGTCATATATGTATACATATATTATGTATTAAGTGTTGCAGACAATTAAGTACAGTACTAATCAGATCCATCTTAGCTGTGACATCAAAAAATACTGTATTATTTTGGTGTATTATTTAAGGAAAACTTGTAGTATTTATTTTTGTTTAGCTTGGATGGTGACTTTTAGGAGTTAAAATTTATTTATCCTGCTCTTAAAATTTTTTTTTTTTTAAATAACTGTGGGTTTGATATCTTGGTTCTTTTTAATTCTTAATCACTACAGTATGGATGAGTATAGGGTTTCTTTTTAAACATTAACTAAACCTAATAGGAATTATTTATCTTTTTATCTTATTAATTTTTAAATGTTGTCTTTTGTTTCAGTGTGGATCTCTTGAAGTTGGGGAGGAGAAAAAGCACCGCATTCCTACGATGGAGGGCCTGATCAGCAGTAAGAACAATAACACTAGCAGCAGCAACAACAAAGATGCAGCTTCTAACCAACAGAGGTTGGCAGTGCTGAGCTTCGAGCAGGTGCGACGACTCAACGATGTCATGGACGAGGTAGTCAGCATCCACGGACGAGGCAACTTCCCCACCATCGAAGTCCGATTACGAGACCTAGTGAACGTTGTCAAGACCAAGCTAGAGAGTGATACAGCGAGTGGTGGTGCCGGTATGAAAGTGCGAGATATCAGACTGAACGGAGGTGCGGCATCTCATGTCCTAGCGACCGAGTCTCAGCCTTATAATGACCTGGATCTCATATTTGGAGTCGAGTTGTCGAGCGGAAGTTATTTTGACCGTGTGAAAGCGGCTGTGTTGGGTTCTCTGTTCGATCTTTTGCCCAAAGGAGTAAGTCGTAAGCGCATCACGACGTGTAGTCTGAAAGAAGCTTATGTGGGAAAGATGGTGAAAGTGAATCACGAAGGTGACAGATGGTCTCTCATATCCCTCGGCAACTCCCGAGGGCACAGGAATGTGGAGTTGAAATTTGTCGATTCGATGAAAAGGCCGTTTGAGTTTTCTGTCGATTCCTTCCAAATCATCCTGGACTCGTTGTTGCTGTTTTACGAGTGCTCCGAGCTGTCCATCAGTGAAAACTTTTACCCCACTGTCGTTGGCGAGTCTGTGTACGGGGACTTCCAAGAGGCGTTGTACCATTTGCACAAAAAGCTCATCGCCACCCGACATCCGGAAGAAATCAGAGGCGGCGGTCTGTTAAAGTATTGTAATTTATTAGTCCGTTCGTACAGACCTGCCCAGCCCGATTACATCAAGACGTTGGAGCGGTACATGTGTTCTCGGTTCTTCATAGACTTTTCCGATGTCCACCAACAACGTGCCAAGCTGGAGAACTACCTGTGGAACCACTTTGTCGGGCCAGAGGAGGAGTCCCTGAAGTACCAGTACTTGATGTTGCTGCACAGTGTCGTGGAGGAGTCCACGGTGTGTCTGATGGGCCACGAGAGACGACAGACCCTCAGTCTCATAGAGGAGCTAGCATGCCAAGTGTTCTGTCAGGAGCAGCAGCGACTGTTGGCCTCTCAGCCCGCGACCATAATCTACGCCGGCGGCTACTACTACGCTCCTATCATTCCGACCTACCCCACACCCTACACCTCGTACATGACCTGTACGTCGTAACGACATTCCCGTTGAGCACTCGTCGGTGTTGTTTCGGCTGTGAAGATTCTGGCAGTGTAACGAGTTTCTCATCTCAATATCACATCCGAGCGAGCCGCAAAGCCTGAGATTTGAGTTACTGAAAGGTAAATTAATAATTTAAACGTGATCTCACCAGAAGTACTCAGTCTGACCGATTGTTAACAATATATGCTGAGAACTTTGCCGTAAAATTATTGTGATGTGACAATCTCTTAACGGTTTTATATTTTTCATTCTAACTTTATATTTATTCTTTTCATTTCTTTCAATTATGATATTGTTTGAGATTTGTGAACCTTCACGCACAAATTTATTTGAAGATGAGCATATCGAGAAAGACTTAACCTACATATTTTGTTTGACATGTTTCAAGTATTGAGGCTAATCTGTATTTTTGATTAATTTTTCAATATGAAAAATGTGTTTGTTGTACAACTGTTCAAAGAGTTTTCAATATGAGTTGCCTATTAAGGAACCGCACAATAAATAAAACTAAAGGCTCTCAATTACAGTATAATTACACTTCTAAAATTTTATATTTTATGCTACCCAGAGATTCCTAGAAATATTTATGTTTTCATATACAGTAAATGGTTTCTGGAACTAGGCTAAATTATATTCATTGTTTCATCATTTAGATTAAGCAAAATGGTCTGATTCATTAAGAATTAAGAGGCTAACTAAAGTTCTGTGTTTTTGAACTGAACAAGTAGACTCTCAGAAGAATACCGGGAGCCAATTAGTAGTTCTGTGTAATTTTATCTATTTTAATAAAGGCTATTTAAGTTATTTTGTTTATTTTCTTGATTGTATACTTGTTATTTTATCACTTTGTGGTGGTGGGCTATAAAAATATGGTTATAATAAAATTTATAGTTTGTATACGACTAAATTATTTTTTTTGTATATAAACTATAAATGATTTTCTGATTACATACATACTGTACTTATGGTGCACTTTGAATTTGTTTTCCATTGCAAAAGTCAATTGAACAATACGACTGAGCGAGCATTAGTTATTTCTGTTTATTTTTGTTTTGGGAATAACTTTTATCTAATTGAAATATAAAAATTTCCTTCTGAGTAGTTTTGCTTTTCTCAAGTTGGCTATGATATTTTTACAACGATTTAAATTGTTTTTGGCTGTGTCAACAAAGTGAATTGTTGCCGTTACAGTATTTAAATAACTTAGACAAGAAATAAAGAAATTTTAAGAAGACTTGCAAACAGTGAAGATCAGAATGTATTTTAAAAAATTGCTTGCAAATTTATTACCATAATGTGTCAATAATCAATGCAATTTCACATTATAGTTATGATAAACCAACTAAATAAGCCTAATATATCGAGAAATCTGGGACAGAATTGTGTGATTACTTGAGAGAGTTTTATTAGGTGAAACCATTGACTAGTCAATGGTGAAACATATTTCTAACTCAAGTACTGTGAGAGTGACACCTTATTGGCAAAAAGATCAGATAAACAATATCGGGACCTCTTCACGGTTTTTTTCAGGACTAACTGAATAAAACTCAGTGAAGGAATCGTTATAGGTCTTACCAAGGAATAATGAGAATAAACGGTTTAAGGCTCAAAAATGAAGCTTGGTATTTCATAATTTATACCTACCTAAAGATTTTTATAGGTGTATTTTAAAAATAGTTAAATCAGCATACACCCCCAATTTTGAAAAATATGTTGGAAAGGCATCAGCCATGATGTCATTTAAATTTCAGACTCTGTAATTTCAATTAGTTTTACATTTATTGAATTTTTTTGCTATCTTAAACAGACTCAAAACATAAAGAATTTCGTCAACATATTACCCTACCAAGAAATGTCGTAAAAAGTGAAAATATATGATTGCTTGAGCCTTGGCTTCTTTATATTCGGAATTCCTTGGGTCTTACTTTTTAAGACTGAAATAGCATAAGTTAGTTTTATTGTAGATGCAATTAAATATGGTCCAGGGAAGACATAGAGAAATACGGCGTGATTAAGTTTGTAGTCTTAAGGTTTTAAAATTGTCATCATTTAAGAACTGTAAGCTGTTTTGGTACTGTAAGATTTTGATTTCTTACATTATTTTTATCCTGCTCAATTTGTTTATTATGTCGAAAGCTGTTGTAGATTTAAGTGCTTTCATAATTTTCCAAACATTTTCTGTACAAGTGCAAATTTTATTTTTGGAGATAAATAGAATGAAAATACTGAAGGCTATGTTGTTAAATTAAAAAGCTAAATCTCTTTTTCTCTAGTAAATTGTTGATCTAGAATAGAATCCTATTAATAAAAATTAAAAAAAGATATATTTTTGAAAAACAATAGAGAATATAGTAGTTACAATTGATTTCTTGAACAATGTGATAGTAATTTTACTGCATCGACTAAACCCGGTTTTACTATAATAGCGAAAACAGAAACTTTAACCTATTAAAGGAAGCTTTATCTATAATTTGTGTCAAAATGGTTTGAGAGTTCAACTCAAAAATGTTATCACATTTTCTTTTAAGTATAATATTAATTAAAACTACCCGTCAATTGTTTTGACTGTCAGAAAAACAGATAAAAAACCTGGCAAGTAGTTTTCCAAACTGTGCTCATTACCATATACCTAAATAAGACAATTTTGCCACTAAATCTTCCAGGCATTACAACTTTATTATTCTTAGCTTTTAGTTTTTTTGCTTCAAATGCTAACCTTTGTAGTGTTCAGTTGACTGTTTATGTATGTAATTTTTATAAATGGTAAAATAAAGTTGTAGTTATACTTGACTTATCACTAAAATATAACATTGTAACTATTAAGATGGAGGTTTTATGCTTATGTCACCGTAGTTACCATCTATTGCCTGGTTCCTATTCAGAATCACGCTTTCAATTTGAAATAATACTCGTGTAAATTGTTATCAATAATGATTGATGGATTCCAACAAATTTCAGTTGCGAGGTTTTGGTTAAACTGGTTTAAGTATGTCTACAGCGGCATCACATCTCTTATACTGTTTTTGACATATGCCATTAGTTATAGGACATTTGTTTAGTTTATTAAGACATATTAATCTCCCGTGTTTTGAGCTAGGCTATATGTTTCCTTGTAAAAGATTCATTATTAAAGTGTTGTTTTATTTAGTTTAGATTTAAAAATACTTCCTTACTGTTTTTGCATTCAAAATAACTATTGCGTTTGCAATGTTTACTCCGTGAATTCTACCACATATGGACAACCACCAGCACAAAGGGACTAGTGATAATGGCATATCTTGAGATGGTATAATTGTTAACGCTTTTTATATATTTATTTCATAAATGTATAAAATTGTGGTACAGAGATATTGTTGTTCTAGGAATACATTTACACGGACAATGTTTGGTAGATGAAATAACATTTTAAAACATTCCCTTGCCAATTTTTTGTGTAAAAGAACCGTGAACAATTATGACAAAAAAGTGCTTACCACTACAGTTGTTTCTAGGACTGTAGCTAATGCTAAATTAAATATTGAAATCCCAGACAAAATGTCCGTGTAAATGTAGGCAGTAGCAACCTTAGCTAGGTACAGTGAACAGTAGCCGTCGTAATCATGCATGTGACATCTAGTCAAAATATATTGTTTATGTCAGTATATATAGCCTAACTATGAGTGTAACTATGATTTTTCTATCTTGCCCTCTAAACGTGCCTGCGAGCACCATTATTTGTGTAGGCTTAGATGTACCCTTGAGGAAAAATAAATTAACGTATAACCATATTTTATGCCATACTGCGCTGTTACAGACGACATTCTAGCCACAACTTCAATTTGTTTACTGATTCCGATGTGGATTTTAAGTATTTCTGTTTTGGTAAATTTTACGATACTCTAGTCTGTTTTCTGATTGGAAAAATGTAAAACTTGCAGGGTGTGTAATATTTATTTGAGCACAAAGAGAATAGGCAGTCAATGGCTTGACGCTCATCCATCGGTTTCAACAACTTGAAATGTTTAAAGTCCTGAATAAAATTTAATAAAACCCAATCACAGTGTATTCTTTACATTCCTGTTTATGTTTAACTTTGTTTTATAACTGAACCAAGGATTTGTGGTATTGTGTTATGAATTCATAGATTTTTTCTGCTATTAAGTCACTCTGGCTTGTATTAAATCAGTACCTTATATATTGTGGAATGTTTTCTTTGAAATTATTGTGCTCTGTCAATAACATTTGTAGGACCCATTATTTAATTTTGATGTGGAGAAGCAGTACTTATAAATCAAAAATCTAAATTTATAGTATGATTCTCTTTTCAGTAGGGTCTTTGTTTTAGCTGTCAGATATTTTAAAACACTCTAGCTTTGTTTCAATACTTCATACTTATCTCAATACTTTTATAATAAGTAACCAACTTGGTCAAAATAAAGGTATTTTGGAATACAAAGGGCTACCATTTTTAATAGCAAACATAACTTAACCAAACTCTAAGACCCAAAAAAGCAACTTAACAACCAAACATAACTTAGGTACATTGTTATAGTAAAGTTTGCATTAACTGAAATTTGAGAAAATCTAAAAAAATATATAGCAAAAAAGTGAAACAACAAAATTTAGGTTTTTGTCATCCGGAGTAATATTACAGTTTATCTTCAATTTCAACTTCAAGTGTTTAGTAATTTTTAATGGTCTAACAAAAAAAGTAATGGATAATCAAGATAGCAAGATGAAAAATGTGTAAAGAATTAGAGACTGTGAATTAAATGTTTTTGGAAACTGCAGGGAAGTAGCTATTTCTACATAAACAGAAAATGTCTTCAAATGCTAAATGAATTTACTATTTTGGTGAAAATACTCAGCTGTTACGAAATCCATTTCACATTTGGAGTCAAAATCAAAGCTTTTACCAGACCATTAAATTGATGTAGGTTTTAAAAAGACAAATACAGCTCACTCAAATCTTTTGTCAGTCATTTATACTTTTTTACTTCACTAGTGTACCTGTTGCTCGAATTCGAGCAATTGCTAAGTATTACAGGCGTTTTTTTTTTAACTTATAACAGTCATAATTTATGATGACTTTAAAGGATTTGACTCGAAGACCATGGAAATACTCAAGATGTACATAACAGATCGATATAATCAACATTTCTTGTAAATATCTTATATTTTTCAAAAAATAATCTTGATTTTAGTGTTTTCTACAAATGGCCTTACTCATAGCCACATTAGGTTGTCCATAATAACGATTATAAATTAAAAAAAAATCATATTTCTTCTCCTTGGTGGTATTCTATGACTTACATGTTTTCCATAGTTTGCTAATCGGCTCTTTCAATGATTACTAAAAAATGCAGCACAGTGTTAATTCAGTATTTCTTTTTAGTATATCAAATTATCCAGGCTCTCTCGCTTTTTACTTTCTCCCCCTATACCATAGTATATGGAGAAAGTATTGTTTTCGTCAAAATTTTCGAGTTTGAGTTTTGAGTGGATATATTCGTTTTGGGTCCCCCTGGACCCAAAAAAGTGGTTTTCGAAGTGATGTCTGTGTGTGTGTGTGTGTGTGTGTCTGTGTGTCTGTGTGTCTGTGTGTCTGGATGTGTACAGAGCTAGAGACTACACCTGTGGTCCGATTTCGATTAAATTTGGTATGTAGGTTCTAATCCATGGTATCTCCAGGCGTTTTTTTCATTTTTTTGAAATTTTGATTTTTAATGGGGATTTTTCCATAAAAACCCATAAAAAACTGGAAAAATCGGATTTTCTCAAAAATGGCCCGAATGATTTTGATAAAAATTTAGTATGTTGTAGCCCTTTAAATTCTGAATAAAATGGTACAAATCCCATTTCTGTAAAAATTACGGTTCAAAAGTTATGGTAAATTATGTTATTTTCCCATAAAAATCCCATAAAATAACGAAAAATAGGATTTTAGACAAAAAAATCCGTTTTTATTTAACATAGTATGTTATGATCCTTACAATTTTAATAGTTTTTCCCATTTCTTAGAAATTTTTAATTTTAATGGGGATTTTCCCATAAAACCCCATAAAATGACGGAAAAAAAGATTTTCCCAAAAATGGCCTGAACGATTTCGATAAAAATTTAGTATGTTATATTCCTTTATATTCTGAACAAAATGGTACAAATCCCATCTCTGTGAAAATTACGGTTCAAAAGTTATTGTAAATTATGTTATTTCCCCATAAAAACCCCATAAAATAACGGAAAATCATATTTTCCCAATATTGGCTCGAACGATTTTGATAAAAATTTAGTATGTTATAGTCCTTTAAATTCTGAAGAAAATCTTACAAATCCCATTTCCGTATATTTACTCTCACCGCTTACACATGATAAAGGTTGTTGACAAACTTATGGGAGAAAGTATGTGTCAGAATGCTGATACTGTTTATTTCCATTGTTATATTTACGCTAACCCAATTTCAAATACTGTAGTACATATTTCATTTTAACCAAGTCAGTAAATGTTTGTAGCAAACTGTTAAATTAGCAAACTTATTGACTGTTTACAATTAACAAATGTTCTTCTTCTCACTTTTAATTTCTGACAACAGCTGGAGTTTCATAACAATGTTTGTTTCCTATGTTAATCTTATGGAGAAATACGAACCTTTAACGAAGTGACTATTCGCACGTCAAAATGCTCCACAGTCCGTTCCCGTTCGAGCTCCAGTATTCAGTTACAGTTACAGTATTACAAAATAATGCAAAGGGAACGTTCAGGTTCAGTTACTCATTTTCAATGACTTACTACTTTCTACTTATTTGAAGATCAAGATGGAGGTCCCTTTAACATTTTGTGATTTTGAAGCGTTAGAAGAATTTATTTCAAGAAAGGAAAATGACGAATACATACAGTTATGGATTGAACGTTCAAGAACAATCGATGGAGCCAGAAGAGGTTTTAAAAACCACATAAAGATGATAATTTGATTATGAATTGACATTAAATAATTAGTTAAATAATTAGTTCCAATAGAAATAAGAACTGTTTTTATCAACTCACATGCATAACAATTTATGTAAAATAAAATTCATTCAATTTCATTTTACTTAATTAGTGCGTTCAATTGTACCCCACTTCTTATTCAAAAGTACCCCTCCAGTGGGGTACTTTTGAACGATTTGCATACCTTTGTGAAAACAGATATTGCAGAATAACATGTTAACTTGGAGGGTTTATAAATAACTAAATTAAAGCTAAAATTATGTTACGACTAAAAACACATAAATTCACCTAATAAAAATTAAAGTTAAAAAAGTTTCAAATGTGCCCCACTCTCCCCTAATGTCTATCCTACTTCTGGGCTATCTAGGCCAACATAGGCCTACCAAAATTGCACTACCTTTTATAGGCCCAGCCTGTGATTGGTCAAGTAGGCTAACATCAGGCCTAGGCTTAAGTTTTTTAAGATTCTTATATTGAATCTTCTAATGTGTATTTCTGATTGCTTATAACCTCTTTGGCTCTGTTAAACTCGTTTACCTTTCTCTTTGCGAAGTTGTTTCCATCCATTTTGGCTAAAATGAGGCACTACCGTTACCGTTCCTAATACTAGGATATCTTTGTGTGCAGCCTGTTCCAAAACAGCTGTAACAGTTACTAGATTAGGAACATAATGTGACGTCATTTGGAGCAGACGTGTGGGGTAGCGGCGCACGTCTGACGTGCGAATAGCCACTGCCAAACTTTAAAGGCCCCAGGGCCTCACTCTCTAATTATTTACCTAAAGTAAAAGTTGCCTGCACAACTTCACGTTACGCTCTTTCCAATGACACTAAAAACATGTAAATCGGTTCAGTAGTTTCGGAGTCACAAAAAACCTGCTTGCGTATTAAATAAGTACTAGTGTACATGTTGCTCGAAATCGAGCAATTGCAAAGAAGTAGAGGAGTTATTTATAAACAAATAACTTGTTTAAAAACTAATAATAACAGTCATAATTCCCGATGATTTTAAAAGAGTCGACTAAAAGATTATTAACTGATGGAAATACTCACAATTTACATACCAGTCCTATTCCAGTTTAAAGGGTTATTTTTTACTATCAAACTGCTCATGGACGGGAAAAGGTAAGCTTACAATTTAAGTCAACATAAAAAAGCCGTCAGCTTTTATAATGTACCGTACCTAAGTTATTTAGCTAATTTGTAGACAATAAGGTGTAGGCTACTTTAAACTCTACAGAACAGAGTTAGGCAAAAACTGGCAGAGCTCTAAAATTGTGTTATTTATCATAGGCATACTCAAATGCCAAATTCTTAAAATAAAAATTCAATAATTAATAACTTATATCATTAAACACAAACCATCATCCAAAATTATACACATTTTTAATACAACATAGATAATTATTTACACATTACTGTTTACAATTAACATGTTCTTCTTCTCACTTTTAATTTTTGCTTCGCAACGGGAATAAACGGTATCAGCATACTGACACATACTTTCTCCCATAAGTTTGTCAAAAACTTATGAAACATCATGAAATTGTCAAAAACCTTTATCATGTGTAAGTGGTGAGAGTAGATAACTGTATACGCAAATGAGATTTGTAAAATTTTGTTCAGAATTTAAAGTATTATAACATGCTAAATTTTTTTTCAAAATCGTTCGGGCCAATTTTGAGGTAATCCGATTTTTCTGTTATTTTAAGGGGGTTTTATGGTAAAATGACATAATTTACAATAACTTTTGAACCGTAATTTTTACAGAAATGTGATTTGTACCATTTTGTTCAGAATATAAAGGACTATAACATACTAAATTTTTATCAAAATCGTTCGGGCCATTTTTGGGAAAATCATATTTTTTCGTTATTTTATGGGGTTTTTATAGGAAAATCCCCATTAAAAATAAAAATTTCCAAAAAATTAAAAAAAAAACTATCAAAACTGTAAGGAGTATAACATACTATGTTAAATCAAAACCGGATGTTTTTCTAAAATCCTATTTTTTGTTGTTTTATAGGGTTTTTATGGGAAAATAACATATTTGACCATAACTTTTGAACC